AGAAGAATTGATGCTTTTGAGTTATGGTGTTGGAGGAGAATATTTAAAGTGCCGTGTGCTGCCAAAAGAACAGATCTGCTTTGGAAGAGGTGTGGCCAGGGTGCTCCTTGGAGACCAGGATGGCCAGACTTTGTCTCTCATACTTAGGACATATTGTCTGGAGGGACCAGTCACTGGAGAAGGAAATCATGTTTGGTAAGGTCAGAGAAGAAGAGGAAGACCTCCAGATGGATTGGCAAAGTGGCAGCATCAATGGGCTAAAGCGTGGCAACAATTGTGAGGTTGGCCCAGGATCGGGTAGTGTGTTTTGTTCTGTTGTGTATAGGGTCGCTATGCCCCTAACAACAACAGTAAACCCAAGCCATTGTAGTCCTAGTGTGGTGCTGTGGGTTAATGGGCTGGATTGTAAAGTAGGTTTGATCCTCAAGGTCGGCGTTGTGGCGCTGTAGGATATGCACTGGACTGTTAACTAAAAGGTTGGTGTTACAAACCCACTTAGCCACTTTTCAGAAATGCTGTGAGTCGGAACTGGCTTGGCCACACTTAGCAACAACATCGATGTAGTTAAGTGACGTTAAGTCTTGACATCCATCGCCACTGCTTTAAAAATAGAGTAGTGGCAGAGCCCGCCAAAAATGTGCCAGAGTCCTCTGCGGAATGTACAAAAGCAAGGCTTTCCTCATCTGTCCAGCATCCTGAAACACTTTTCGTAACAGAAGCCTTGAAAGCTAGTGGTGGTATGTGTGTAGAGTATGCCAGCAGCCAAGGCAGAGGTTTTGCTGCAAAACAAGGCGCTGTTTTGTTGGAGGGGAGGGAACGAGCATTTTGCCCCAATGCCTCTTTCTTCCCTTAGGAAGTTTCCTACAAACCGGCAAGGATTTGGAGGAAGCTGAAGCCAAGAGAGGTGAACTATTTCGCCTAAGGAACCCAGGATGGGTGGGGGGCTAGGATTTCGTTCTAGGTACTGTTGTTGGGCAAATCCTTCAGTTTCTTCTCCGCCTATTGGGCGGACCGCTCTATCGCGCTGAGCTGCAGAGCTTTTCCGTCGAATGGAAGCGTAGAGGAGGAGGGACAGCCCAACCAAAAAGGCGCGCTGGCGGGGATTCCGGTATCATCCCGCCCTTTCCGCTTCCGGCATCGCTTTGCCTCCTGGCGGTCTGGGTGTTACCGGAGCTGGCAGCCGGAAGTGATCGAGACCGGAATGGCTATGCCTGCTGTGGGGTCTGTGAAGCTGGCGTTGCAGGTTGCTGAGGTGCTGGAAAGTATCGTGAGCAAGTGCATGGGCCCCGAAGGGCAGCAAGTTCTGTGTACGAAGTCCACCGGCGAGGTGCTGCTCAGCCGAGATGGAGGCCGCCTCCTGGAGGCGCTGCACTTAGAGCATCCCATAGCCAGGTACACGCTATGTAACCTGTACATGCTATACAACCTGCACACGCACGCGCGCACACACACACACACACACACACACACACACACACACCCACCACCACCACCACCACCACCACCACTCCCCCCCCTTATTCTGGTTGGGACCAGTGCCTACTAGAGATTAGAGTTCTGCTGCCGGGAACATTCCCGGTCCCCAAATCATACCCATTCCCAAGAACACTTTTTCTGTACGCTGAGCCCTAGAATTACGGAGTAGAAGAAAACTTGACGCCCTGTGAAAGCATATTTTAACTTGGTTCTGTTGTAAGCCAGCACTTTGCAAATCTGAGATGCTGTATTTGTTTTTTATACAGGTTGTTGGTGGCATGTGTTTCCAGTCATCTCAAAAAAACTGGAGATGGTGCTAAAACGTTTATTATCTTTCTTTGCCATTTGCTCAGAGGGCTTGATGCAACCACAGACAAAGAAACAGATGCTTTAGTTTCTGAAAATACTCAAGCCCATGGGAGGCATTGGAAAAATTGTTCTCGGTGGAAATTTGTTTCTCAAGCTCTTGTAAAGTTTCAGACACAGATATTGGACTACTTTATGGACCAGTGCTTAAGTAGACACTTTCTGTCCATCTTTTCTTCATCCACTAAAGAGAAAACATTATGTAGGAACTCTATAGAGTTGCTCTTAGAAGCATATTTTTGTGGACGAGTTGGGAAAAATAACCACAAATTTATTTCACAGTTGATGTGTGACTACCTTTACAAGTGTATGGCTTATACAAGTGGGATTGAAGAAGTATTTGAGTTAGTGGATGACTATTTTGTAGAATTGAACATTGGTGTCCCTGGCCTTCCTGTTTCAGATTCCAAAATCATAACTGGACTTGTGCTACACAGAGATTTTTCTGTGTACTGCCCAGCAGACGGTGACGTAAGAATAGTGATAGTTACAGAAACCATCCAGCCTTCTTTTTCAGAATCTGGATCAGAGTTTGTTCTTAATTCAGAAGCACAATTTCAGGAATCTCAATTTTGGATTATGGAAAGGACAAAAGCAATAATGAAATATTTACAGAATCAGAACATCAAATTGCTCCTCTCTAGTGTGAAACAACCAGATTTAGTTACCTATTATGCAGATCTGAATGGAATATCAGTGGTGGAGTGTTTATCAGCAGAAGAAGTTTCTCTCATTCAGAGAATCGGTGGTCTTTCTCCTTTTGTACTACCACCCATCTGTTCACAGCATGAAATCTCTAACACTGCCTTAGTGAATTTTTGTAAGCCCCTTATCATTAAATCCAAAAGGTATGTTCATCTTGGCTTAATTAGCACATGTTTATTTATACCACACTGTATAGTTCTTTGTGGACCAGTGCACGGACTTGTTGAACAACATGAGGATGCTTTACGTTCAGCATTTAAAATGCTTCGGCAGTTGTTTAAAGACCTTGATCTAAGTTACATGACACAAACCATCAACCAAAATTCTACACCAAGTCCTCTTATTTGTAATAGTAGAGAAAGTGAACTGTTTGAAGAAACTGGTAATGATTCAATACAAAGACTGTGTAGGGACCCAGTTGTAAAGAACAAAGATGAACTGGCAATTGTTGAAACACATTTAATATATTCAAATTTGGAGATTCCAAGTGTAGAGTTAGAAACACACATCCCATGTTCAACACCACAACTTATACCAGTAGATACATACCAAACAGATGACACACTGAGAGGTTTATCTCAAAACAAAACCAGAATGCATAATCGTGAACCATTAATTCCGAGTAAGTCCACTGACCGCCCAACAACACAAAACACTAAAATAGAAATGTCTTACGAAAATGTACAGGTCAAAAAAAGTGTTGGTATGAGGAACACATTACCACTAAGTTGTAAGTCACTGGAGAGTTGCAATTCCTCATCTATATCAGCAGGTTGTGTTTTACCTGTGGGTGGTAATTTTGAGATCTTGTTACATTACTATCTAATCAACTATGCCAAAAAATGCCAGCAATCTGAGGAAACTGCAGTTAGTATGATAATAGCTAATGCACTTTTAGGCATTCCCAAAATCCTTTATAAGTACAAGAAAGGAAAGTACAGCTTTCCACAAATATATGTAAGAAGTTTATATGCACTGCAAACCAATCAACCCATGGTATGCACTCAAACAGGCTTAGAATCGGTAGCTGGTAAATATCAGTTGCTAACTTCAGTTCTTCAGTGTTTGGCAAAAATTTTAACCATTGATTTAGTAATCAATATTAAGAGACAACCTCAGAAAGTTTATGAGCAAGATTCAGAAGATGAACTGTGAAATTGAAAGTTTATTTTTAATCCATGGTGCTTTGGGTTAATGCACTCGATTGCAATGCCAGTTTGAACTGCAACGTCTGTGGTTCAAGCTCACCACCCGCTCCTCAGAAACCCAATACAGGGTCGCAATGGGTAGGAACTGTCTCAACTGCACTAGACAACAACAACAAGATAAAATAAAGCAGGTATGTGACCTCTAATTTTCAAATTAATTCAGTCTACTTAGGAAAAAACATGACTTAAAAATTATACAAAGCTTCCAGGTAGGGGAAGCCAAGACCTAGCTAAGCATGTCTTTTTCTTCCCTCTCCCATGTCTCTGTTTCAGCTGTTATTCTGTGTGTTTGGGGGAGTATTTCTTTAGATCTCTTCCATTTTACTTTTCTCTTTCTTTTTTCTCTCTTCATCTTACCTCCACCTTTCTGGGTTTAACTCAGAATCTTTTATCTCAGATTTGAGTGAGGTTTTAATGTTTTCGTTGTTGATAAAACATGTTATCTGCCTCATTTGAAATAATGTATTTTCCCTATTAGTAATTAATACAGCAGTGAGTAAAATGTTTAAATTATTTTTCTCAAGAAGAATTTCCATCTAATTATATTTTACTATTATGTGGCCCCTGGTTTTATTACATTTTATGTGTAATTGCCTGCATAGATTTTCCCTACCCTTATACCATTCAGTATATGGTACCAGAAATCGGATTTTGTGATTTGTGAACTTGAAAGTCAATACCAGAAACTTTGAAATCCATATTTTCATGTTTTCCTGGCAATGAAACTTGTAAAGAGAATTCATGTACTTGCCTGTTGTTCTTATTTTTGGCACACAGCTAGAGTTCAGTAGTAACAAATAATTTGAGAATTATTAATTCTAACATGAATTTGCAAGTGTATTTTTGTTTAAAAAATGTATAAATACAGATAATACTTTACATATAGCCTTAGATACAGACAGCATCTTTGAACTTTACATTCTCTGGTAACACCTATAACAGTGCTGTGTTTATACTATGTATTCAAAAGTACTTGTTGAATAAAACAGCATTATCTTTTATCCATTCCTCTAAACACATTATTTCCAATTTACAAATTGAACTAATTTTTATTGAGTGCTTACTGTGTTCTTTGTGCCATATACTGAATATACAGTATTGAACAAAACATAGTTTTTGTACTCATGCACCTTTCTCTGACGTTAATAAATATGTGACAGTTACTTGGATTGGAGTTGAATTTAGGAAAATTGATCAAAACAAATTTTAATTACAGTTAAACTTGAATATGGTATGGCACTGTGGGTTAATGTGTCAGACTACAAAGTCATTTGAACCACAAGGTCGACTGTTCTAAGCTCACCAACTGCTCCTTGAAAACCCTATACAGGGTGTCTATGGGTCGGAACCAACTCAACGGCACTTAACAACAACAATAATGTATTTGGAGTCCTGGTATGGCACTGTGGATTAATGCACTAAACTCAAAATTGGTTTGATCTGCAAGGTCGGTGATTCAAGCTCACCAGCTGCTACTTGGAAACCCTACACAGAGTCACTATGAGTCGGAACCAACTCGACAGCACTTAACAACAACAACAAAAATAATGCATTTACCATAAACATTTTCCACTGGACTACTAACTAACCTGAAGTGATTCAAACCTATTCAGCAATGTGGAAGAAAGGCTTGGTTATTGGCTTCCATGAAGAGTATAGCTAGGAAAAGCCTATGAAAGCAGTTCTCTGTAACTTACAGGGGGCCATAAGATAGAATTAATTTGATGGAAACAGGTTTGGTTTTTTAATTTTATTATTAATGTATTTTAAAACTGACATTCTATCATACAATGTCGCATCAACTTTTACAGTATGTATAATTCCAGATGTTTCAAGTTTGTCATAAAATATATTATTTGATTTCTGTGAACATGGAGAGAATAAATTTGCTCTATATTTTATATTGCGGGTAAAAGATGATGCTTTCTGCACGGTGAAGCTTTACAGCCTCTGAAAGTATACAGGGTCACTATGAGTCAGAAACAACTCGATGGGACTTAACATTTCTTATATTGAATTCTGCAAAAACCATATGGAACCCATCTCTGACTTCCCCTGACTTCACAAAGGGGAACGAAAATCACACTCAAAGTCATCCCAAGGCTGAATCCTATGAAGCAGAGGTCAGACATGCTTCTACCCCACAAACTTCTTTACTCTGACATCACCCATTCCTCCACCAGCACTCTATGCTTTACACCTGGATTTGACAATCCATTGCAATGGATACAAAGAACTCATAACAATACTCACAATTATTGGATTTATTAGGGAAATGAATAGGGTACAATTCAGAATCAAAACTAACTCAGCATACAACAGTTCTCTAGTCATGAAGGCTTCTTATCTGCCATCCTGCAGGCACTCTTCAATCTTTTTCAGCCTCTCAGCCATGTGGTCCGTTGGCCTTTCTTTTAGCCTGTGAATGCCCAAAGGGCACAGTCTTTAAACCAGCCTCCTAGGACTGTAGGTACTCAGCTTTACTCTGTCCATGGGCCAAAGCCCAAAGTTTCTCTGTCTTTCCATGCCACTGCCTCTGCTGTTGCCTCCACTATGGTCTCTGATTTTTCTCCACGTAGGGGTCTCATAATGTCACTCATGGTCTTTCTCCTGGATGGTCCTGTGATCTTCCATCTGCTTCTGAGATGGCTTCTGTTAAACCTTGCAGGAATGTGGAGACTATAAAGGCACGAAGTGAGTGGCTTACAAGCTTTCAAGAGGGAGTTTTGTTTCAGAGTGTGTGGGGGAAGGTAGAATCCCCACTGAATAGTTTTCATCTTGACTAGACTGGTCTAGTGAAAGGACATAAGGATAGGATTCTTATGATTCAATAGTGAATAATTGTTATCGTGACTAATTGCAACTGTCACAACTGTAAAAGATGTAACAAAAAGGGGGAATAGTTAATCTTACAGTCCAGGAACAGAGGACCCTAGAACGATCAAAGGAGCATGAGCGGAATGTGGGACTTTATCCAGTGAAGCAGTTACACCAGAGATGGAGGGAGAGATGAGGACACGGAGAGAGAGAGCAGCTGAACACTTTTTGTTAGGTGCCATCAAGTTGAAACTGACTCATAGCAACCCTATGCACAACAAATCAAAACACTGCCCAGTCCTGGGCCAACCTCATAATTGTTGCCACACTTGAACCAATTGATGCTGCCACTTTGCCAATTCATTTCACTGAGGGTCTTCCTCTTTTTTCTCTGATCCTCCACCTTACCAAACATGATATTCTTCTCAAGCCACTGGTCCCTCCTGACAATATGTCCAAAGTATGAGAGATGAAGTTTGGCCATACCTGTGGCATAGCTTTCAGAATCACAGCAACTCACAAGCCACCACAGTACAACAAAATGACAGATGAGTGGTGGAGCTGAAGACTAGACTCATGGAAAGAGAGAAAGGCTGTGTGCTGGCAGCCAGGAGGCTGGCTTGCAGAATGTGACCTTTGGTTGTTTAAATGATTGCATATTCCTAAGTGTTTTTGTGTACATCCAAAAAATAACAGGAATAGAAGCAAATACTATTGAAGATGCATGGAGGAGATTGTAATCATTGCAATGAAACAATGAGTGTGAAACCGATGTTCTCCCAAGTAAACTATCACTCAGTTCACAATAAAAACTTTATATATGTGTGTGTGTGTGTGTGTGTAACCTAGCTGGAGGGTAAAACAAGCAATTGCAACCTTAGAGTCCTGTATACCTTATTTGCTTGGTGCCACCAAGTCACGTGGTAGGAATTAAGACTTTGGATCAAAAAGCCATATCAAGTAAATTCAAGGCACCACAAATTCGTAAAACAAGGAAGCTACTTTGAAAA